AGTCTTAGGCAGGATGCAGAAGAAAAAATTGGTGCAGGTCAAGCCGGAGGTGAGGAAGTCACCGGAGGACTGATCGGAGACATAGAAGAAGATGAACCCTATAAAACGGATGTGCCAAAGAATGAAACATCTTCGAAAAAAGTGACATCAAGAAGAGAGTGAAATATTCGACAAGTGCTAGGATAATGGCAGCGATACCCTTTCAACATAGTCGAATAACCTAAGAAAATGCAACGAATAGCTTTGTCATCAAGCTTCGTACGAGTAGGACGTCAGTCCGGAACAAAATAAGAACACCCGAAAACACGAGGAGTGATAGGGAAAAGGGTACTATCTGGTCACCAAAAATGCAATGGAACCTTACCCCCTAAAGCACGACTAGGGGTTCGGTTAATCAAAAAAGCTGCAGTGAGAACTGCCATAAACTCCAATAAGACTAAGGAACCTGCATACCACGTAAGAGGTACCGGACAACACTCATGAGATGACGGTTTTTACGTTCCGCCACCCATTTTGTTCCGGTGTACAAGGGCATGTCAACTTACGAAGAATACCCAGTTGATTAAGGTGAGACCGAATGCCATCAGAGATATACTCTTCCCCATTATCTGACTGGAGGTTTTAACAATAGTATTAAATTGGGTTTTAATCATTTGCAAGAAAGAAATAAAACTACCTAATACCCCAGAGCATGATTTAAGTAAATAAACCCAAGTACAACGAGAGTAATCACAATAAAACTCACATAATATTTATCACTAGACTAAGAAGTAACAGGGGAAGGTCCCAAACATCCGAATGAATAAGATTAAATAAACACGGACTATGATGCATGCGCAAAATATAAGAGGTGCGTGTGTGTTTAGAGAGCTCACACAAAACGCACCGAAACGGATGGGTTTTACAAGCAGTTTGCAATGCAGGAAATAAAGATACTAAATGCTGAAAATTAGCATGTACTAAATGAGCATGCCATAAATCAAATGTCTAGGTTGTAAAAGAATATCTTCCATGGTCACGTAATACGAAAGCATGTGCAAGTATTGAAGATGTACCAAAGATATACAACACATCCCTCTCATAACCCCCTGCCAAAAATCCTCTTTGTGAAAAACACAGTGATCAGGAAAGAAGTCTGAGCAGGCCAAATAACGAGTTAAGCGGCTAACAGATAATAAGTTAAGGGAAAGGTTAGATGTATGAAGAATAGATTGTAAAGATAAATCAGGTGATAAAGGGACAGTACCCTTACTAATGATCGGTGTAAAAGAATCATCGGCAAGGCGTACCTGCCCAGAGGATGCTTACATGTCTGAAAAATACCCGAGACTCACCAGTAATGTGATCGGAAGCACTAGAATCAATGACCCAAGTTGGAGAAACAATACTAGACTGAGAGGCATGCAATTTAGATGGGGTACCTGGGTGAGTTGCCACAGATGTAGCTGAAGGGGTACCTAAGTGAGCTGCAACAAACGTAGCTGAAGGGAGAGCTCTCTGTGATAAATGATCTCGGTTAATAGATTTAATTTGGGAGGCTCGATGGGTGGTGCGAGCTACATGTGCTCACAATTTCCACATCACCTAGGTGTGAAAGAGTGAAGTGTTATATGTAGGTTCATCATCTTTCTATGATATAACGCTTTTTAAAGCCATGATGGCTGTGAACCTATCAGAACTCCGAAGTTAAGTGTGCTTAACCTGAACTTTCACTTTTACAGAATATTACTGTTAGTAAACTCTCACTTTTATAGTATTTAACTATTACTAAACTTTCTTTGTTATAAAATCACTGTTAGTAAACTTTCACTTTTATAGAATTTCATTGTTAGTAAACTTTACTGTTACAAAATTACATTGTTAGTAAACTTCCACTTTTATAGAATTTCATTGTTAGTAAACTAGTAAACTAGTAAACTTCCACTTTTATACAATTTCATTGTTAGTAAACTTCCACTGCAATAGAATTTGAGTGCTAGAAGATACATACAAAAACCAAACAAGCAAGTTGGGAAATTAAAAAACAAATGACACTTCAATCAGGCGCGCTTTTGTTGTGCTTCGCGCACCTTATTGAAGTCAATAGCCCAGGCGCAAAAGGTGCACCTTGATACACCTCACGCCCCAGGCGCGCCTTTAACAACTATGCGCGTAAATAAAGTCAAACTCCATGATTCGTGGCTATCAAATCTCTATTACTACAATATGTCATTCCATAAATTATGGCTATCATATCTGCTAACACTTCCCCTCAAGTTGGTGCGTGGATATCTGAAATGCCCAACTTATTCAATGCATCCTCAAACACAATCCTGCTAATGCCCTTTGCAGAAATGTCTAAGAGCAAATATGACTAGAGATGATTTTCTCTCAAATGAAGTACCAATCAACAAATCAAAGTGTGTCCTCAGACCATAAACAATCAATGTCTCCTCACACCATATATAACCAACCATGTGTTTTGAGACCATAAACAACCAAAAAATGTCTCCTCAGACCATTTTCCTTCATACACATGTTTAAAATATGTAGAAGGAAGAATAAAAAATGTCTCCCTAGACCACAAATCATTAACAATGTCTCCTCAGATTATTTACGAATGGGTGGTGCCGAACTTGCAATGCCCTCATTGTAGTTAGACCACCCTGGCTCTGATACCAAAAAGAAAAAGAAAAATGAGAGAATTGTGTAAAGGCTTGAATAAGATTAAATCACTCACAACTCTAGTATTTATAGAGAAAAAGAGCACATGCTCATATTACAAGTAATAAAATTAAATCAAACCACAACATAATCTATGGCCAGACATATGCATAAATAAAGTCAAACTCCATGATTCGTGGCTATCGAATCATAGCTATCATATCTGCAAACAAATTGTGAGGCTCAGTGGTTGGGAGCAGGCCTGTGAGAGGCAAAGCACTGGTACGAACTACGTGTGCTCACAATTCCCACATTGCCTTAGTGTGGAAGAGTGAAGTGCTATATGTAGGTTCATAATCCTTCCATGACACAATGCATTTTAAAGCCGTAATAGCCGTGAACCTATCAGAACTATAGAGTTAATCGTGCTTAACCTGGAGTAGTACCAGGATAGGTGACCTCCTGGGAAGTCTCTGGTCCGTTGGAGCCAAAAGCAGGCAATATTGTGTCTGGTGGGGTGAAGCCCGTTACACAATTTGTGTATACAACTGACACATATCAATACATCCAGGCAGAGGAGCAGTTAGCTCATCAGTAGACTCGGAGATAGCAGTAGAAGAAGAATTTGTTATAGTGTTGCTAGCTCTGAGGAGTGGGTAGAGTTGGAAGCACCGGAACTTAGCACGACCAGTCTTCCCACAGTGTGCATAGATGGTGGAACTCCCCCGTCCATGATTACTACTGCCACGACCACGACCACGAGTGCCAGACAATCAAGAAGTAACGGCTACTGTCATGAGTGTCGGGCGTAGGAAGTGCAACAGGAGCTATCGAAGATGTAACTTGGCATCGATGATCATCCCCATCAATAATAGCAAAGGCCTCAAAAAGAGGGGGTAGTGGTGTAGTGTTCAGAATTTGAGTGCGAATGGACTTTGGACGAAGTCCCAAAAGGAATTGATAAGAGTGATGCCTCTCATCGCCATAATAAAATTTGTAGTCTTTCGGGTGCAACTCATAGATCCGGGCATCATTACAGGCATGGGCATAAGTCTTAGTAAGGGCAGTCCATAAAGGGTGTACAGCTTCGTGATACATGAACATATTATAAATGCGCTCCTTCATAGAGTTGAATAACCACCCAAGAATGGTACAATTAATCAATTATCAATGTCCCCCTGACTAAATGTGGGTTCAGTAGGTAATGGCTTTTTAACAATGCCCAATAGATATCCAGTTTTACCACGACTCACTAAATAGAGTCTAACTGATGTTGCCCAAGACGAAAAAACATTTCCATCTAATAAAGCTATAGTGATCCTTTTGGGCTTGGGAACTATGCCATATGATATGTTATCCTTAATCTCAACAGATGCCATACCATGTTGCAGATTCCCACCAAATCGAAGATCGCAAGCACTGCTATCCACAAGTCACAAGGCCTAGAACAGTCCTATGTGCAGGCCGCCAAAAAAAAAAAATATCAGTCTGTAGGTCTCAATGGTTAGAAAAGACCTGTCCAGCAAACTGCATGGGATATCGAAGTCTTCCAACTGAGCTACTCTATCTGCAAGAGTGAAAGTAAGCCAGATAATTCGTCAATCGCATGTACTAAACTTTGTGGAAGCAACAAAGCATGAAAACAGGCCGGGCGATTCGTCAATGGCACATAATGACCGAGCCGGTCATTGGTTTAGAGAGAGGCCCTCTATCGCATGAAGCAATTAAGGGAAAAAAGAATACCCCCGAAGGGATTTGGTATGCTTGGGTGAGGTATAGTTGTTGGTGACTGAAATTTAATGGAGACAGAAAGAGTTGAGGATGAACCAAGAGGATGTGAAGCAGGGGTGGGGTTGGTTGTGAACTTGGCTCTAATACCAAGTTGAATGTGAAAGGCTATTATAAGCCACAAATTATCATTAGCCATACTCCTAATTTATATTACACACTGAGTATTACATAAGTGGAAAGTAAATAAAATCACTGATCTTATGCCTCTAATTAGGCAGATTATGAAAATAACATCGGATCAGATCAAATTAAGATCAAATCAAATCAAACCCCTAAAGATACTCCCAATACAGATCAAATCCCTGAATTTACTCCCAGTAATAACGTTAATGAATATCTCTAAAAACATAAAATAGAGATGGCCAAATACGCTTTAATGGAATTAAAATTAAACCAAAATGTTCCATGCAAAATTTTTGAAAAACAAACTTTACAAGACTCAGAAAACTAGAAAATAATCAAATGAAGCATCATGTTGCATGCATTTGAAAAATAATTATGTTTCTCTACATCCATAAACAACAATAACATAAGTAATTTTAACCATCCAGGAGATGAACAACTACCTCGCAAGAAGCTGCCCTGAAGGAACTGAAATCGTGGTGTCCAACAAGAACTTTGCATGCTTTCTGGATAATAATCAGCTAACTATTAATTTTATTTTTTTGTAAGATCAATAAAGCATTAAAGTAAACTTGGAAAAAATATAATAGTTGAAAACAGCTAACCAACCTGCATAGCTAGAAGATCCAGCTCCTCGGGTACATGCCAAGCCCGGTCTTTCTCATAGATTATCAAAGGCTCTGGCCCAGACAGCAAGCGATAGAAGTACCTAAAGGAAATTTGTTACACTATATATTTAAGAAACATTTAAAATGAAAGCAAATGCAAAATCAAAATATCAGAAATAAGCTGAGAGTTGAGAAATTATGGGCATGGGGAGGTCAACCAGTGAATGCATGTAGCATTTAATCCAAACTTTAAAACCTTAACTTCTGTATGATCATTGATGTCAAACACTAGAAGGTTATACAGCCAGAATTATCACACTAAAGCAATTCTTTCTAGTAGATATGAACATTCTATGCAGAATAGCGTCTAGATGTGATAGTCTTGCTTTTAACAAACCATAAAATAAGATATAGAATGTTATAAAATAATTGTTTAAAAGAACAGCAACTCTACCATTAGAAATTTTATACAGATGATACATATTTCAGTTATAGTTGTAATTTGTATTCCCATAATTTGAATGTTGATACTTACGTGCGCTCTTGAGCTTTATATCTTGCGTGAAAATTAGCTGGAACAGATCGAACATCAATCACCATTATATCACCTTCATTCTTGTGATGCAAAACCAGAACTAGAAATGTGAGGATCTCAGCATGAAGTTATGAGATGGGTATGAGAGAGGTAAAACTAAATTATATGTAAAATTTTAGGTATGCAGATTGACCCAGGTTTCAGGACAATGAATCAAAACTAAGTTTCAACCCAAATTCTTAAAAGCAATTTGAACATAATAAATTCAATTGTATTATGTCTTGCAGCCAATCTCTGTTCAGCCAACACATCATCAGTTTATCATAGAATGAGCCAAAACCATGACAAGATTGAGTTGGTTCAAAATCTCGGGTTGTTCTCCTTTTGATGCAACAACTAATTAAAAATGCAACAAAATGAGAAACAGCGTATAACTAGCATAACCCAACAGAAGTATGAACTTTTAAGTACTAATTAGTTTACTAAGAAATTATGATATTGCTTCAAGATTTATGATAATTAGAGCAACCATGTGGATAAAATTGTTAACTTTTTTTTGGACAACAATGAAACCTAAGGAATCACTTAATAACTTTGACCAAACTTGTAACCAACTTCAAGTGTGCCAGTAAATTTTCCTTTCAACATTAAACAAAAAAAGGAGATTGTCAGTTTTATAGATTAGAGAGAGAGAGAGAGGATGGCTGAGAGAGAGAGAGGATGAAAGAGGCGCAGCCCTCACTGTTTTCCTCATTTTCATATATTCCAAACCCTTACACATAGTACAGCATATATATATATACAATACAAGAAAGGCCTATGTACATAATGGCCACAAATCCTATGTCTAATTACAATATGATCCCAACATAAATACCTATTTACATATAACTATTCTAACACTCCCCCTCAAGCTGGAGAATATATATCATATAATCCCAGCTTGGAACAAATTGCTTTTAACCGATTATGACTAAGAGCCTTAGTAAACGTATCAGCTAATTGATCTTCAGACTTCACAAATGGTGTAGAGATGTTCCCGCTCAATATTTTTTCGTGGGTGAAGTGACAGTCAACTTCAATATGCTTGGTTTCATGAAATACTGGATTGGATGCAATATGAACAATTGCTTGGTTATCACAGAACAATGGAATAGGAGTCTTGACTATTAACTCAAGTTCCTCAAGAAAGTGTTGTATCCACATTAACTCACTAGAGGTATGAGCCATCGCCCTGTACTCTGCTTCAGCGCTAGACCGTGCTACCACTGTTTGCTTTTACTTTTCCATGTAACAAGATTTCCACCAACAAATGTGCAGTAGCCTATAGTAGATCTCCTATCTGAGGGAGAACCAGCCCAGTCAGGATCAATGAAACCTTCTACCCTAAGATGTCCATTTGGTTTATATAGCAACCCAAAGCCAGGAGCTTGCTTGAGGTATCTGATAATTCGAAGAACTGCATTCCAATGTGACATCCTAGGAGATCCCATGAATTGACTTACAAAACTAACTGCATATGAGATATCCGGTCGAGTGATAGTGAGATAAATTAATTTCCCAACAAGCCGTCGATATCTGCCAGGATCATCAAATAGATCACCCTCATCTGACAAGAGTTTTGTATTTGGATCCATAAGAGTATCAATAGGACGACCACCCAACATACCTGTTTCTTCTAATAAATCCAACACATATTTCCTTTAAGATAAACTTATACCTTCCTTGGATCTAGCAACTTCAATACCCAAGAAATACCTGAGTTGACCCAGGTCTTTAGTGTGAAATTGATTTTGTAGAAACAACTTCAATTTTACAATACCTTCAGAATCATCACCTGTGATCACAATGTCATCCACATATACCACAAGGAAAATGAAACCAGCTTTAGTGTGCTGGTGAAACACCGAATGGTCTGTCTGACATCTCTTAAGACCAAATGCTAATGCTGCCACAAAGAACTTTCCAAACCAAGCCCTTGGAGATTGCTTTAATCCATACAAGGCCTTCCGAAGGCGACAAACGGTATGACGATACTCCCCCTGAGCAACAAACCCAGGTGGTTGCTCCATATAAACCTCTTCAACTAAGTCGCCATGTAAGAAAGCATTTTTCACATCTAATTGAAACAACGGCCAGTTACGATTGGCAGCAATGGAAATAAGGACCCGTATAGAAGAGATCTTTGCAACAGGGGAAAAAGTTTCATCATAATCAACACCATAAGTCTGGGTGTACCCCTTTGCAACAAGACGAGCTTTCAAACGCTCAATAGAACCATCATGGAGATATTTGACAGTGTAGACCCACTTACAACCAACCGGTATGGAACCAGGAGGTAAGGGAACAAGATCCCATGTCCCATTATGATGAAGAGCATCCATTTTTTCGATCATGGCTTGTCGCCAACCAGGATGAGAAAGAGCATCCTGCAAAGTCTTGGGAACAAGTGTAGCAGACAGTGTGGATAAAAAATAAGAGAAAGTGGGTGAAACATGATTATATGAGACAAAGTTAGAAATAAGATGTGCGGTAACACAAGATCGAATACCTTTGCGTAAGGCAATAGGAAGATCATCAGTAGCAACAGGAGCCTCAATAGAAGTAGACAATTTGGGGGGGGGGGGGGGGGGGGGGGGGGGGGGGGGGGGGGTTGTTGCTACCTTTGATCGTCAAGTATACACTTGAAGTGGCAGTGGCACTTCAGGTGGTGATGGCACTTGAGGTGGTGGAACATCAGCAGATGAGGGTGACACAACAGGCAATGGAAGCAACAACTCGGTATCTAAGGACGAACCAGGTGAAGAAAAATAAGGAGTGTCCTCAAAGAAGGTAACGTCCATGCACACAAAAACACGACGAGTGCTAGGATCCCAACATTTATAACCCATTTGAGTCCGAGAGTACCCAATAAAGACACTTAATGGCACGAGGAGACAATTTATTAGTGCCAGGGCGTAATACGTGAGCAAAGCACACACACCCAAAAACACGAGGCGGTAATGCGAATAACGGCCGGGTAGGGAAAACAAGGGAATAAGGACATTTCCAATTAAGAACAGAAGATGGCATTCGATTAATTAAAAAACAAGCAGTTAAAACAGCATCTCCCCAAAATGCCTTTGGAAGATGCATATGAATCATCAATGTCCGAGCTATTTCAATTAAATGCCTATTTTTCCGTTCGGCTACACCATTTTGTTGGGGAGTATAAGAACAAGAAGGTTGGTGCAAGATGCCACGAGAGTCACAAAAGGTAGAAATTGCACCTTTGACATATTCCATAGCATTATCAGATTGTAGAGTTCGTATAACACAACCAAATTGAACTTCAATTTCTTTTAAAAATAATTGAAATATGGAAAAAAGTTCAGAACGGTCTTTTATTAAAAACAACCAAGTCATCCTGGAATAGTCATCAACAAAGGTAACAAAATAAGAAAAACCTGATTGACTAGGTTGACGAGTAGGACCCCAAATGTCTGTATGCACCAATTCAAATAAAGAAGACCGATGATTAACAATACGAGGAGGAAAAGACACTCTATGGTGCTTCCCCAACTGACACGACTCACAATTTAAAGTAGACACCGACTCAAGGAAAGGTAATACAGACTTCAAGTATCGCAACGAGGGATGACGTAACCGATAATGCCACTGGTATACAGACATCTGGGAATGTAAAGCAACAGCACTAGTGGAAGGTGTGCAATCCAGATAGTATAAGCCATTTCTGTTAGTGCCCCCACCAATCGTCTTCTTCGTGTTGAGATCCTGAAAGACACAAAACGAAGGATAAAATGCGACAAAACAATTGAGTGCCTGAGTCAGTTTACTGACAGATAATAAATTAAAAGGAAATTTTGGGACCAATTGCACAGAAGATAAAGAAATGGATGGGGTTAGTTTTATTGTTCCCTGGCCAATAATGGAACATGTTCTACCATCAGCCAAAGTAACAAAAGAGGGGAAACGAGACTTCTGAAAGGTAGAAAATAGAGATTCATCACCTGTGAGATGGGTAGACACCCCAGAGTCAATAACCCAAGGGGAGGCTGAAGTCTGTAAATCGGACAAGCATGCGATAATACCTGATTGCGCAAAGTTAACCATATCAGTAGAGTGGGGATGTGTCCGGTTAACCAAGGCACTGAACTCAGCTCGGGAGAGTATCGCACTATCACTAGTAGGTGCAGATGATGGCAATACAGAGTTTGGAGCAGATGGGTGGTGGTGGTCAGGAGGGGGATAAGACCCAGCACTATCAGAAGAAGCCACTACTTGATTTGCCCATGCTGGTTTCCCATGGAGAGCCCAACAATGCTCAACAGAGTGGTTAGTACCCCTACAGTGGCTGCAGTAGCGAGTATCAGTACGTCCACGACCACGGCGACTGCGACCTCTATCACGGCCACCACAACCACCACGAGAACCACTCGAAATTCCTCCATACCCTCTGTTGTTATTGGGAGCATCACGGCCTTTAGAGGACTGTGGAGAGATAGAATGAACCATCATAGCTGAATTTTCTTTCACTGTGGACGTCCCATGTGATTGTTCTGAAACACGAAGCAATCTGGCATAAATGTTACCCAGAGATGGGACTCCTCCATCACCAGCAAGGATGTGATCTCGAATATTTTGAAGGCTAGGGTGCAAACCAGCAAGAAAAATAGAAACTGAAAATTCCTCACATTGTCTCTTGAGAACGTCAAGATCAGTAGTTAAGGGATGGTACTGATTCACCTTATCTAGCAAGTTTTTGAAAGTACTGTAATACTCACTGATGCCTTGAGCAGAGGGATCAGATTGACGAGAATGGAACATCTTCTCATATAGGCAATATATGCGAGAGACATTTGTGTCCATAGAGTAGGTTTCTTTAACTGCATCCCATATTCCCTTTGCAGTGGTGAGAAACGTAAAAGTAGATGCAATAGTAGGTTCCATACTATTCCACAACCAGGACATAACCATATAGTTATCAGCTTCCCAATCATCATATGTTGTGGATGTTTGAGGTGGAGGAGCTTGTGTAATAAACTTCAGCTTTTGTCGGGCGCCTAAATATGTCTTCACTGCTTGAGCCCAAAGTAAGTAATTTGAATTACTCAATTTCATAGTTGTAATTTGCAGCCCGACACGATCAACATGTGTTGCAGGAGTTTTATTTCAGTAGACTCAGAAGAAACAGTTGAAGAATCCAACTCCATGTCTCAAATGTATATGTAAATTGACCAGAGAAGAAAAAAAACTTATCTGGCCCAAGTTGAAGTCACTGCTGCCGAATCTGTCCCGAGCGAAACAGAAACAAAAAAAAAAAAAAAATAGAAGAAACTGCCGGAATAGGAAGAAAGGGTCGAACCAGACTCGGATCTGAGCCGAATCTGAAAACGGGTCGGATCTGAGCCGAATATGAACACGGATCGGATCTAAAATAGGTCGTCGGATTTGGGTCGGATCTGAAAACGGGTCACTAGATCTGGGTCGGATCTGACAACTGGTCGGATCTGGACCGGATCTGAAAAACGGGTTTAGGTGAACCTGGATCGGGATAGCCTTGCGCCTGCAACCAAACACTACCCTTCTCCTTCTCAATCAACGCCGGCAAGAGCTAAAACCTACTGCCATCAACAACGAGATCCTCACCAACACAAGGCGAAGCCCCAACCACAAATCTCGACTGCAGCAAGGAACCACACTCACGACAGCCACCGGCGTCAGCGAACAGCGAACGGCGAAGTCGTCCAACAGAGGCCGGATCGACGATGAACAGCGTTCCCTTCACAAGCTAGTACACACCCTACCACCGCGGTAGCGACTTCAATAGCCGGATCTACGCTCTGATACCATGTCAATTTTATAGATTAGAGAGAGAGAGAGAGAGGATGGCTGAGAGAGAGAGAGAGGATGAAAGAGGCGCAGCCCTCACTGTTTTTCTCATTTTCATATATTCCAAACCCTTACACATAGTACAGCATATATATATACAATACAAGAAAGGTCTATTTACATAATGGCCACAAATCCAATGTCTAATTACAATATGATCCCATCATAGATACCTATTTACATATAACTATTCTAACAGAGATTATACAGAATCTATCCCTAACCTTTGATGTTCACTTCCTCACATTGGCAGTTAGTTTTCAACAGATGAAGAAAGAAATTGACTTGAGAATGATGACTAAAATATACCATATCAATAAAAATATTGTCACGAGAGAGCTAAAAAAGAAAGAAAAAGACAAGGCAATATGTCGATGGATGAAGAAAGAGGAAGATAGGTTAGGGAGGGCACAGAAACGTCTTCTAAGCCTCTCGCTCACAAGAGATGACGAAAAAAAAAATTCAAAAATAAAAGAGAAAAGAAGAGAAGATAGAGATGGCAATGAGAGGGTTGACAAAAGCGAGGATTGAGAGAGTATAGAGCTCAAGCACCTTAAAGAGTCAATATGATTGAGTTTGTAGGCGTTAGAAGGCCCTAAACACCAAAACTCCCTTCTAAAATAAAAATGCCCAGAATAAAAAATAAGCCCCAAATGCTTTTCATTCAGTTTTTTCTTTTTGGCAATTATAAGCCCCAAATTCCATTCCAAAAGACCTTTCAACTTCCTAAAGGGTTATTTAATGTGGTCCTCATTAGTTGAAGGTGCTGAAAATGGTAGACTGCAAACAAACCTAACCATTGACAATATTTGCACAAAGTGGTTGCACTAAAAATTTATGCATTCTCATGCTTAAAATTTTCTAAAAAATCCATGTCCTACTGTAATGCCTGGAGAACTAGGCTTAGCTTAAGAAAATAGGTTATAAAGGTGAATGAAGACTTTGTTAGCCAGCATCACAAGCAAAATTTTCGTATGAAAAGACCAAACAATATAGTATCAAGAAAAGGTTATACCAAAAGGGTGAAAAAGTGTATATCAATAAATATATGGTAATCAAGTAAAGATGTTGCAATTTATTTGAAAACATGATGGGTGTAAATAAAAACTCCCGTCCTACGGTAATGGCCAGAGAACAAGGCTTAGCTTTCAAAGATAGCTTACAAAGGTGAAGGAAGCTTTTGTTAGCCAGCTTCGCAAGCGAACACCCTTGCTCACCAGTCATCCCGGAGGGAAGAGAAATTGAAAAGGAAGGGCACATGAGTAGACTTCCATACCTCTTGAACATAAGATTAAAGAGATAGAGATATGGATGAGGCATGAGAAAAGTGAGAGATTGGGAGAGGTAGAGAGCTCGGGCCCTTTAAAAACTGAATACCACTAATTTTGTAGGCATTAAAATAAAAAATCAAAATTCCCTTCTAAAATTAAAATGCCAACATAAAAGATAAGCTCAAATTCAATTCCTAAACCTTAAAACTTATTGAAACCCTTCAAGTACATCAATATTCTAATGAAAAAACTCCTAAAAGGCCTCTGATAAGTAAGAAATAACATGCCATATGTGTGTGTGTGTGTGTGTGTGTGTGTGTGTATTCTAATAGACTTGGACAGCAGAGAGATAAATTACAAGATCAGATTGTATATAAGCAAATTCTAAATTTGAGACATCTTAGACAATTGAAACCAGCACCTGTAAGAAATGATTAACAGCTTTTCTAACCACTGCAGGTTCGTGAGGTGGCAACTGCATGTCAACAAAATTTAAAGTATTTTTTTTATAAGTAACAAAATTTCAAATAATCGGTAAAGCATTCACATATTAAACAAAAACTCTATAATTTTATTAATTAATTTTAATCAAGCAACTAACGAGTAAATCAAGTGACAAGAGAACATCACTTCAACAACCGGTTGTGTGTGTGTGTGTGTGTGTGTGTGAGTGAGAGAGAGAGAGAGAAGGGGGGGGGGGGGGGGGGGCGATACTGAAATGGAGCATTATTTTGTTAATAAAATGTAAGCATACCAAGAACCAAGCCAATTTTATCAATGCAATAGTCAATAAGTGATAATGATAAACTACTTCTAGACATGCATTGGAAGTTAAGCATCATAATACACCCCATCAGTAAAAAGGAGGAGAGAGGGAAGAGGGGGGAGAGAGTAAATTAATAGTGAATCAGTTTTGGTATAAGTTTCCAAGTCAGAATTTAAGTAGTCTCAGAACAATAGAAATGGTGGGTGTCCTAAGAGGTTGTGCCAAAGGAAAATCTGATTAGAATTGGTTTTGTGGGCTGAAACCAAGCCTTGAGACCTTTGACTATCACTCCTCCACTCGGTCTCCAAGTAGTAAAGTGCATCTCTCAGCTTACCATATTCAAATCCTTCGTGATCTTTCCAATAGATAACAGATTGTAATTCAAGTTTGGGACATGAAGAACCGAATTTAAGGACAAGGTGGGTGAAATTTTCACAGTTCCTTGACTGGCTACAGATGATAACCATCAGCCACTTTTATTTTCTGTTTTCCTGAGCATGGTAAGTAACTAAAAAAATAAAGTGAATTGCTTGTCATATGGTCTGAAGCACCTGAATCTATGATCCAGGTGTTAGAATAATTGCTAGAGGAAATTAATGCTTTTGTACATGATTGAACCATGGGACAAGAACCTGAATTTGGAGTTGAGGTTGTGTTTATGTCCTCAAGTTGGTTCAGCAGTGTCCTAAGCCTTTCAATATCAGCCTTGTTGAACCCCGACGTCTACTGATTTTCTTCCACCATGGTGGTTTGATTGGCCTGCCCTGGTTTTGTTGCATAATTCCCTCCTTTGCTGCCAGGACTTTTCAGGTTTTGAGGATTCCTATGTAACTTCCAGCACATCGCCCTAGTGTGTCTAGACTTGTGACAGTAGTCGCACCACATCTTCTCTTTGTCTATTGGTTTCTTGCTATCTCCTGCATTATAGCCTGGTTTGGACACTGCAAGTGCTGAATTCTCGGTAGTAGGACCTCCTCCAGAATTACCACCCATTAGTTCCTTACAATTCTCTTCCCCTCGGATATGAGCGAAAGCTTCATCAAGGTCGGGAAACGGATCTTTACCCAACACTTGGCCACATGCCTGATCGAATTCAGGATTTAGGCCCACCATCAACTGAGATACCCGCTCCTTTTCCAGCATATCTTTCATCTTCTTCGTGTCTGCAGCTGATTCCATATCTACATTTTGATAGAAATCCAGTTTCGTCAATAGCCCTTTAAGAGCTATATAATACTCTGTGACAGTTGAAGAACCTTGCTGGGTTCTGATAATCTGCCACTTTGGTTCAAATATTTGAGAGGCAAAACCTCCCTTGGAGTAGGTTCTTGTGACTGCTTCCCAAATATCCTTGGCAGTGGGCAGGAGAACATCACGACCAGACCAAACTTATGGAAGTGGATAGACATTTCATCAAGGAAAAATTGGACTCGGGACAAGTTTGCACTCCATACGTTCCATCCTCTAAACAAATTGCTGAATTTTTCATCAGATTGTTGACAAGCTTGGGATGCAAAATATCTTTGCACCAGCTTGAGGGGGAGTGTTGGAATAGTTGACTTATTATTCTTTCTGTAAATAGGTTGTACAGATATGATTGTAATTTAGATCCTTATTTTTAGCTCTTAATTTAGGAGACTAAGGAGAGTTACCTAGTTTAGCCAAACGTAGGTCTACTCTTGTATTTATTTATATTTGTGTTATTATTCTATAATAAAGTAGTGTGGTTCATTCTTCACAAACTGGCATAGTATCAGAGCCAAAGGTCTCGAGTTCAAACCTCGTCACCCTAATTAAAAAAATTTAAAAACAGATGTTGGACCAAAAAGAAGGCCACACGTGAGGAGGCTTGTTGAAGGATTCAAATATTAAAGTTACACCCTCTCTAATAGCTTAAGCTTTTAGAGTAGAAGAGTTGTTAACCCCTACCATCCCGAGCCTTGAATATGATGTGTTTAGAAAATGCATCCCACCCCCTCCGAATGAATTTCTAAACACCCACACCTCCTGGGATCCACACTGTGAGAGAGCACCAGCCGCCTCTCTCCTCCCAAAAATGACACAAGATAACTCTCCTCCAAAGGCTATGGTGTTCAACACCAAATCTCCACAACCACTTGCCTAAGAGAGCCCTATTGAAGGGCACCAATCTCCTGATACCCACACCACCTAACTGAAACGGTCCTACACACCTGCTCCCAACGAACAAGATGATACTTGAACTTCTTTCCCATACAGCCCCCTAGAAAGTTGCGCTGGAAACGCTTTTTCCTCTCAGCCATCAAGGAGGGAATCTGAATCAAGGAAAGGAAATAGGTAGGAAGGCTCGATAATGTGCTCTTTATCAAAGTGATCCTCCCACCCTTCGAAAGATACTACTTCTTCCACCCAAAAAACCTCTCAAATCTCTCCACCACAGGATCCCAACCACCCACTCTTCTTGATGATTAGTCCAAGGGTAATCCCTAATAAGAGATAGGAAAGGAGCTAACCCCACAACCAAGGATATTCGCAAGAGAAGCAATATCCGGAACCTCTCCTAAGGGCACAACACGCTAACTTGCAAGTGAGAAACTGCCTGAAAGCAAATCAAGATACACCTCAAGTATCTCAGTTATGAGACATCATCATCACAAAACACCAAAGTATTATCAGCGAACAGCAAGTGGGAAATCTCCAACTGATGCGCTGCATCCCTGCCCACGCTGAATCCTCCGATGAAACCCAACTCTACTGCCCTCTTCATTATTAGGGTTTGTGTGCGTCGACAAAGCCAATGACTGTAATTGGACATTTAGATTAAATAAATACTGACATATAATATTAGTGAATGCTTGTACTGAGTAGGTCAAGAGTTGAACTAGGTGTACATTAATTATTATGATGGGATGATTTAGTGTACATGGAAGTAGGCTTGTGCATAGGAGATATATATCACCGGGGTTCATAATTATCAATGTTCGCACTCAAATGAATAGAATTGGGCATTCTACTTTATGAGTGTATTATACATTGGGTTCCTCTTTGTAGAAACACTAAGTGGTATGGCTTATCTCAATGAACCCAATGTGTTGGTGTGTGGGACACACTTAACGGATCGAGGATCAGTTGAGAATCACGAGTAATTTTCCTTCTCCGTACTAAAGTAAATGGACTCTTAATCCTAGGAGATTTATGGACTGCTAATTATAGTAATATTTGCTTTGATTTACTTGAGTAACCTACGGGTTAACACACTTGGGCATTTTGGGTAAGTGTTATTATAAGTCTGTTGAACATACTTTTCAAGATAGAATTTATGTGGTATTAATATTTTGGTTTGGTTTGTCTGATCACAAAAAACTGGTCAGTTGTATTTAATAAATAGTTTTTGTATTTCTTTATTTATTAAATATATTATTTTATTTGAAAAAGAATTTATGTAATCAAACGGGTTTAAATTTAGATGGCAAAAATATGGATTAATTAGTATATTGGATTGATAGAATTATTTATCCAAAAAAATAATTAGCGTGGAGGGGTTAGTTTGCAATATTAATTACCTTTGGGGCTTTTATTAATTATTCATGTATCCTTGAGTGCAATTATTTATTTTTAGTAAACTAAGAAATAATTAATAAAAGAAGTTTAATATGCTAAGAGCTAGCAAGTTATTATACTACCCTATTGAAGTCAGAATAAGGATAAGCCTATCAGATGCCACTCCTAGCCTAACTTGGAAAGCGAACAATTGGTCAAAAGGAGATTTTTTTTTTTTTTTTTTTTGACAAGTAAAGATATATTAACAAAAGCACTATGAGGGGAGCGAACCCTTAACAAATCAAACAAAATACGCAAAATGCGCCATTACAATGATAAGTTGTCAACAAAATCCAAAAAGCTATCCACATATGGGCAATTTTTCCCATTAACCCAAGAATAAAGAGAATGCAAAATATTTGCCTTAATAATCCACACCGGCGACTCCTTTCCCTCGAAAGATCTTTTGTTCCTCTCGTGCCATAGCCCCCACCAAATACAAAGAGATGCAACCCTCCACGCCTTCCTAACCCGACTACCCATTGGTCTCCCTCTCTAAGCCTCTAACATATCCATCGTGTTACTTGACACCACCCATTCTACCCGAAAAACATTCAGGACCAAACTCCAAACATCCACTGCCACTTTACAGTGCAGCAAGAGATGATTAACCGACTCGCCCGCCTTCTTACACATGCAACACCAATTAACTGCTATTTGGCGTCTTTTTCTGAGATTGTCAAGAGTAAGACTGCTACCAAGCACCACTGTCCACGTGAAAAAAGCCACCTCCAGTGGAGCTGAAGTCCTCCATACAGCCTTCCAAGGAAACCGTTGCTTTTCGAATTCGTAAGACTTTGATAAAACAGCCTCACCTTAAACACCCCTCTAGAATCCCCCATCCACACCATCTCATCCCTACCTTCCCCCTCCACCACTTTACTATAAATTAATCCATTAAATCGGTACTCTCCATCAACTCCCAATCATTAAAATTTCTGCGAAATCTCACATCCAAACTAGCTCTCCCATTCTCTAGCCTAAAATAATCTGCCACCATCGCACGCTTCTCCTCAACCATCCTAAAGAGTTTAGGAAACCTACAAGCCAACACTACATCCCCACACCAAACATCCATCCAAAACCTCACATACCAACCATTCCGAACTCTAAACCGTATCCGCTTAGAG